TTCTCTTTTTTCTGTGTTGGTTGTTTTTTCTCTTTTTGGTGTTTGTTTTGTTGTTATGTTTTGTTTTTTTTTGTTTGTTTTTGAACATTTTTGTTAGTGATTTTCCCTTTTTGTTTTTGTTTTTTTTGTTGGTTTTTTTTTTTGCTTTGTGTATTTGTTTTTATTTCCTTTTTTTTTTGCCTTTTAACCCTTCTTCCCAAAATTACGTCTCACTCATTTGTTTTCTATGTTACTTGCTTCTTAAACTTTTTTCTCTTTTTTTTTATTCCCTTTCTTGCCTTTGCTTTTTTGCATTTATAACTAGTATGCGTGTGTTGAGAGATGAAGATCACCGTATTCTCTGTCTCCCTCCGATTTCCATCGCTTCAGATACATTGGAGCTCTGGTTGGACAAGAAGAATATGCGGCAAAACATCAGTCATTTACGTCGAGAACTGACTGGGTTGGTTTGCATCGAAGAATAATGAGTTTATGTGCTCGAATTTGATTTGTTGCCAGAGCGTTAGCAATTGCATTCAGGCAGATGGAAAATATTTTCGATTCACTAATTATTAATTCGATTAATCTCAGGGGATCGACTGAACCGAGGGAGGTTGCTCCTGATGAGTCCCAACAGGACGACGAAACAGGCGCCTGTATGCCACTAAACCTAACAGCTCAAAACTTGTTATATCCCTATCAGATTATATCATTTCGAGCGGATCTATAAAAAACAATCGATAGAATAGGAATACTTCGATTAATGCTATTTAGTACTTTCAGTTACCTAGAAAAATGTATTTTTAAATTTTTGGATCAATTTCGGAAACTTAGTTGGAGACCTAATACAGAGAGGATAACAAGGAAAATCCTTAGTTTTGCTCTTCCCTAGTAATGTACAAGACCTAAGAGTCATCATAGTAAATAAAAATTCAGAGGAAACTTAATTATTTACCAAAAATTGATACGCATGCTGTATTCGATACGTGTTAATCGAAAACTCTCACGATAACTGAATTTCTATCAATCATTCGTTTGTTTTTAATTATTCAAAGATGACCTACATGACGTACGTGAAAAAAAAGTTGAGTACTTATGGACAGTGAAAGATTCTGAGCGATAAGGCACTGTCGTGTTTGAAAAAAAGGCCTACAACAATGACATATTGCAAAACTCAATGATGTAGAGTGGTGTGCAAAAACGTTTGCGTTCAGCCAGGATTTGAACCCAGATCTTACTCTTACCGGAAGCATGTGCTTAAACTGTTGCACCACCGACGCTCGTTTTGCACTCCACTCTTTCTACGCTACAACGCGTTATCTGTCAACAGCCAACTGTCTACGGTGTGGCGGGGCAGTCATTATCGACATTAAACCCACTTTTTGTTGACAGATATTGGGTTCAATAATCAATTCGAAATAAATTTATTTGACCGCCTATTGCGGTGTTATGATGTTTTCATAAACCCAATGTTGTAGAGTGGTGTGCAAAAACGTTTGCGTCAGCCGGATTTGAAGCCAGATCTTAATCTTTCCGCAACATCATAACACCGCAATAGGCAATCAAATAAATTGATTTCGGATAATGCAAACTATTGGTCAGAAATAAGCGTCTCCAGAGAAGTATTATCGGTGCTTCACTCCCATCTGCACCCTTTCAGAAGAATGAAATATATCTCAAATTTTTGAGAACGAAGCTATCGAATAACTACTAAAATTTCTAGAGAGAACGAAAAATGCGTTTTTTTTTATTTGAATATCACAATAAATAGGGAAAGTACCGTATCATACGCAATGCTGAACACGCGCTCTTCCTGCACTTACTCGAGCTATATTAAAAATGCCCCATATGAACCTCTATTAGAGAAGTTCAGTTGTGAAAGATGTGGTTTCGAGCCACGCTTTGCAACATAGGCGGTACAAATGTACACTAAGGGTTGGAAGTTTTTTATTTTTTTACAAGCATGTGGCATTGCCGTTAAAAAATGAAGGATTTCAAGAGGAAGTGACACACTCTTTATAACAAAATCCTTTGTAACAGATTCATTTGTGATGCTCCATTTTTTATGTAACGATAAGATAACTCTGACAGTATAAACTTCACCTATAATCACCAATAAACAGCCTATGGCAACCAAGCGGAGCAGCAACACTTCGTGCTTGAAATGTGATTTTTTTGCCCTTACAGCGTTCTGTGACAGCTTTTCATAGGTAACATAATGTTATTTTTGCTGCTGTCACGTAATAAAGAGCCTTTTTCTGAAACTAAGTAGATCATTAAAATCTCAAAGATTTAAGCTTGCCATGATTACTATCTAGGAGAAAGCTTCTTTTGCAGAGAAAAAGGTCTTCAAAACAATCGTGTATCTCAGCTGCTACACGTCGTCCCTTGCGGGCTAATTGTTTCATCAATGACTACCCAAAACGGTACGAGTACAGGGCATTTTGGCTGCTATTATTGGAACGTTGCCACATATACATTAACTTAATCACTGCCAAGCACCATACGTGATGTCTCCAAAATTGAACATTGATAAAAAGACTTTGTAGCAAGTGTTCTTCACTGTGCGTTTCAAGTTGCGCCGTTTTAAACATTTCATATTCTCAAACTCATTCCTACAGTCTTTCAGAGAATTTTACGAGACGAGGTTTTACGTTCCTGTACGACAATGGTTATTTGTACTGCTGTCTAGCCTGTATGTGTTTGTGTCTTATGCACCACCGGTGTATTTGAATTAGTCTTAGCTTTGCGGCATATGTGCTCATTTGTGCCTTAACAGAATAGCTTAGCGGACAGGATGATGATTTGTTGCCGCACGTTTTGCAAGAGATCAAATAAACGTACCGCTCTCATGCAATCGCTATCACTACCGTTATATTGTGCACTTTTCCGTTATGCAAGAGACGATCATATAAGCGGCTGCGGACTAGCTGCCTACTAGGATCATTCGATGGTATCTCAGTGATTATTACCGATTCAACTAAGCCTGCTCGTTTTTGAACGAAGTTCTAAGCATGACGCTATTCCTATTAGTGATTGCCGTACCAAGTCAAAGCACAAGTGCTCGAATGGCAACGCTTTAGTTGTCTAATAAAATATGGACTTTTATCCGCACTCACAGTGATTTGATCATCTTTCTCGTTGGATGATAGTTTTCTATTACACATTTGATGATCATTCAAAATTTAAATTCTGCAATTTCAGCAGTGTTTGTTTTTGAAAAGACTTTTATTACGCTCTAGCAGTCTAAAATAAATTGTGCTTCACACTCAATTTTCCTCATTTGCTCAGCTGAAGCTTCGATATGGCACTTCACCAAGCTTTACTAGCGATTTATAGTCCAAATCTCAAGAATTTAGATGACGTAATTTTCATCTAAAGCTATCATAATACGCTGTGATAAAGAAAAGAAGATTGGAATTCACCCCTAGAATGTTATCCCCACTGCTTGCACGTCGTAGATGGCTAATTGACAAACATAGGTGAAGTTTACACGTCAGAGGTATCTTATCGTTCCACGAAGGGTGAAATTCAACAAATCAGCTTTTTGTGAAAGCTTTTTTGGTATAAAGAGCGACTACTTGTCTTGAAATCCTGCTATCTCAGAAGTAATACCACATCCTCGGTAAAAAAATTTTTTCAAACCTTATTATGCATTTGTGCAGCCTATTTTGCGAGAACGTAGCCTTAAAGCACATGTTCTGCAATAAAACACCTCTAATAGAGGAGGTAATTGTAGTACGTAGGTGCAGAAAAGATAGCAAGTGTAACAAGACCGCGCGTTCATCGGTGTGTGGGGACTTTCCGTTATTTCCACTCCGTTTCAGCCCCTTGAAGAGAAAGCTTTCTCTAAACTTTTTCAACATTTCAATAAGTATTCGTTAGTTTAATTTCGAGATTTCTATGGTGTACTTCTTGCCCAAAATTGCGTTCTTATTGCGCTGTAACAGCAAAATAAAATTCTGCTTCACCTTTAGGAGCATTCCATTTGACCACTTTTTCCTAAATCTTCAGTAACCATTCGATAGTTTAAATCTCGATAATTTCAGTGGTATGCTTAATTTTCAAAATAAACCTTTATTGCATTGTTGCAGCCAAAAGAACATTAGGTTTCAGAAATCTGGATCACTTTCGACATCTGCACTAACTTGACCGCTTGGAAAAAAACGCGTTCTCTAATTTTTGGAGTTTCAAAAATAATTTAATAGTCGAAATTTCGGCAATCTCAAGAAAGTATTTGATTATCAGAGTGAGTGTCGCAGTTTTTTTCTAGTACTAGAAGTAAAATACCTATCACACTTTAGCATTTCTCGCAGGGCAAAGCTCTTCCAGTAGACTTTTGGTAATTGCTTGTTTGCTTGAACATCGACGATATCAATGGTAACTGCACTTTAGACAAGTATTTTTTCTTGTACTTTAGCAGCTTAAAGAAGACTGCGTTTCGCAGATTATCGAAATGTTGCAAAAAGCGCGTTTACTTGGTGCCAATGTTGCGAATCCCATCCACATGCCGGAGCAAAGAGAGCGCGTCGGGTGCGAAACCCAATTATCTTTTGGCTCTTACGGCACGGTGAACAATTTATTTCATACACCAAAGCTTATCATTGAAATCTTCAGGATTTTAGCTATCGAATATTAGTGAAAGTCTAGGGAAAAACATCTATGCAGCGAAAATTGCTCGAGTGTGAAAAAAACAAACCAAAACACAATTGTTCCTCCATGCTCAGAATTCTTCCTATATCCAGAAGTTCTCGACGTTTTCTCATATACTTTAGACGTCAACTTTAGAGGACTGGAAATAAACGAGTGACGGATATAAACTTAGTTATAATGAGAGTTATTGATGAGGTAGTATTGCTCACAGCACATCATCATTTTTGATATGTTACTCATTGTTTTCTAATTTTTATTCACTGTGACGATTCTTGAGTGTTCTATAAAACTAAGAGAGATCACAAATGATGACTTTTATTGTGATATCTTTTGCAAAATGCAACGCAATTGACTGACTGCCAAATTCAGTATGATTCCGTAGTAAAGCGCTTTTTCTCTATACACGGCTGATATATCCGTAGGCAGGCGGCGCGATTTTCGGCTGGCGGCGCGCTCTCTAATGCCAGTGTGATATTTCTAATGAAATTTATACCTTTTTTTCGTCAAAAAATGTGATTCTTTTGTCAGTAAATGGTTAAATATGATAGAGCAGACCTCAACAAAATTATTTTGATTAGAAATAGCGTAATTGTTCCATTTATGATCAATACTTTCACAGGGAAAAACCAAGTATTTATGAAAAGACTTTATTTAGAACCTTTATCAAACAATTCTATAACATTTCACTCATACTTATCTGCGGTTCAATCATTTTATTTTGTATTTCTTTCAGTTTTCATGTACCTTAATGCATAACCTAAAAAAATTCACCATACTGATTAAAAATTGGAAATATTTGAAGAAAGGACGTGATTTTTTTCCTTTGAAGAAGACAAGATTTTGGGAAGCATTAGCGTTGATCTTGCTGAAATTACTCATAGAGGAGTCTTATCAAAGATATTATATCGTTTTTCGATGATAATGTTCCTCTAAAAATGCAATTTTCTACTGGTGCACGTACCACTCTTCGTAACCGTTCCGAACGGCACACCCAGCTGAGGATCATAATGATCCTCGTCGTCCGCATGAACCGAAAATGCGCGAGTAGAGAAAATCGTGTTGTATCAAAGCAACGCAAGAATTTCAAAGGTTTTCGCAAAGCGGGACTTAACTTCAACCAAATGTGGAAAATTAGCATTTGTAGAAATAAACCAAATCAGAGATGTGTTGTGCAAGCTTACGTAAGCAAAATGAGTTTCGTGATACGAAATTGATAGTGACAAATTTTTTTTTCCTGCGCGTCTAGAACAGAACTCAGAAGAATCGACCGAACTTCATAAACATGCATCTTTACAAGAGACATACATTTCAAAACGACATGACTAGACCTCAGCTCAAAGTCATTCTAGTCGCGCTCTCTAAAGCGCCATTTTCTTCTCACATCTCAATATATGAGCAAGAAAATCAAAATAAAGGATTATCTTGCTTGACCATAAAACTCAATGTTTCAATGCGGTTGTTTTTTTTTCTGCAACCAATTCCGACGAAATCGCAAGGTCCTTTCTTTATATCGCAGTGCTGAAAAAATCTTGTTACTCGTTTCTGAAATTTTCAGAGTTTTTAAAAAAAAATATTCGCCTTTAAGCAATTAAAAACTTTCCTCATTAACAAAAAAAATTCATAGCCG